TCCTCTTTTTTATATTATTATTATTATTATTATTATTATTATAAAGTGCAGAAAAACTTTCTTTCTCCTTTCTTTGGTTACACTGGTATTTAATAAAGGTTTGTACTTACTATAAAACATGACCTCTGTTTCTGAATCAGTAGTTTTCAACAAGACTGCATATAAAACGTGTCCATAAAAAGAGTGTTTCAGTTATAATAACAGTTTAATTTAGACTATTTACAACAAATCTTGCATCAAATTGAAGGTAAACTAGCCTAGTTATTCTAACTTAATTGTACAGCACACATTCAACCTATAGTCTAATTCTTCCCACACTTTGGTTAATATGTCCAAAGTAATGAAAACAATAGCCTCTTCAGTTCTTTATCTCAGCTCTGGCAAATGATTAGGTAGCAGCGAGATGTAGACTTGATCTTTTATAAAGCCCCAAAGGGAAAAAATGCATGCTGTTCGGTTAGGTGAATGGGTAGGCCAGTGAAAAAGAGCATGCCTTTCTTGTACAGTATGTCCTACAGTTACCGACTAACCTTTTAGCTGTTCTTTTATTGCTTTTTTCATTGAATATGTGCAAGGCTGTACATATAATGTTCATATGGTCCTTAAACATTCTTAGGGTTTTTTTGAAACAATTTTTGGCTCTTAAAAGCCTTAATTTCCGTGAAAATTGGCAAAAGGTCCTTAATTTTACTCATCTGAAATTTCTGTCTGTTTTTTTACAACTGCCAGTTTGGAGGAATATTTTTTGACGATGCATTGAAAAATGTATGTTTGATGAGTTAACGCTTGAATTCTTCACTGCTACTGAATAAAAACGGTGGATACTTGAGTTTTAGGCACGAGGCCTTGCCTTGATTCAAGCATAACCATTTCAAAATTAGTTCTTTTATTATGTGGCGCTAAATTTGGCAACTTGCCAACATTTTGCTGATTTCAAGATCAGTCTGTGTACAAAATTTTTTATTTGAAGATTTGCCAAATTTTTTACAAGATTTTTACAAACATAACATTATTGATAAATATCATGAAAATAATGATAGTGTATTAAAATTATATTTAAGAAGTGACATTAAAATAAAATGTTCTTATTTTCTCCTGTCAAATTTAAAGTGTCATTACTTTCCATTTTTGTGACTTAAAAATATTTTCATTCTGAAAAATAAACAAAATAATGAATGCTATGAAGCGCATTTTCCAAAATATCTTTTTTTTGGGGGGGGGAGAGGGAAGCTGCTGCAATTATTTTAAAATTAATTTCATTTGTCTTCTTTAGTATTTTTTCATGACAAAAGTTTTTTTCCTATGCAGCTATTAAATGCGTATCTCTGCTTTTCTCTTGGAAAAGCATTTTATATATAATTTTATAATCTTCTACAATTTTGCTCTTAGAATGTTGGTGGGGATAGTTTATCTTTCTGATTTCAGACCTTGCACCTAAGAAGGTTTAGAAGTATTTGAGGGCAAGATTTATAGACCTGCAGTTACAGAAAAATGTGTCAAAATGAAAAATGTTTTCATGGTATTAATATGTAATGGACATATTTTATAGGAAATTTGTGATGGATTTCTTATCTTTATGAGAGTTTTTGGAAGAATGGTGAAAACAAGATTATTTGAATTTTTTCCTTTTGATCTCAGAATTCTTTTTCTTAACATGTTTATCTTTGCTTTATTTTCTTATTTTTCCTCTATACACAAGCATTAAAGCAAGTAAAGAAACTGAACACTGAAATTCTTTTAAAAAATTCATCTTGTATTTCTCTGTGCATTATACACACCTCAGTGCCTGCCCTAAATTCTAAAGCTTGCCATCCCTAATTTTCTTTTTGCTGAGTGCATCATTAAATTCTAAAAATTCTGACACCAGCTCTGACCTTATATCATTTCATATTCACAATACTCATATTATTAAAGAAAATTGGCAATTTCTTCTGTACATACTAAGTACAAGCTCTTTAGAATAACGGAAATCTTTAATTAAATCTGAAAACTCTAAAATGAAGAGGACACTCATTGAAGAAGTAATGATTTTATAAAAGAGAGGAAACAAATTATTCTTCAAAGGTACATTGTTGAATCATTAACAAATTAGGAGATGAAGCAGAAGATAGTGGGAACATTGATTTATTTTTTGGAAAAAAATGAACTTAGAGAAGATGCTAAAGAGATGGAAATTGATGTAAATTAGCTAAAATACATGGAAAATTTTCAAATTAAAAAGATGCGTAATATTTTTTTTTTTTTTTTTGTTGTTGTTAGTTGTTGTTACAAACTATAAATGCTTTATAGCTTTTAGTGTATAATTATACTAATATCAGTTTAGAATCAATAGCATAAATTATAACTGCTGTAGAATGTTCTTAGTGCCTTTTTTAATGGATTTTTTCAGATATAGAAAAATAGTATAATTGTAACCATGTAAATCTGTTATGACTAAGGATATCTAATTATGTAATTTAATTATTTGTGAATAACTGCTCACCATTAGAAGTTATATCTATATGTTGAGTTACCGCCTTTCTTTCATCCTTATTGTGGATGCAAGATGAAACACAAAAATATAAAAATTAACACAAAACTTACAGCTAATGAGACTTAAAATAATACAAAACATTCAAAATCGTAAAAACAACCTTGCATTTAGCGTAAGTATATTGAAATACTCAATCGATTTCGAGGGCAGCTAAAGGTCTCTCCTCATCAGGAGAAAGAAATACCTAGAAAGAAGAAAATAAAGGGAAAGGAGTCTCAGAAACACGTGGTCCTTATCAGCACTGCACATGGTTATAACTCGATTTTTAATCAGAGTTGCACTGGCCGCCTACTTTTACTGAGCCAGGCTATTTGATCAAGCAAAAAATTAAATTTTTTTTTTTTTAATTTGAAGTTCAGATTTTGAGCGTGAAGGTGCATTTGCCCCTCGCTCCCTATTTTTAACTTCGCTAATTTTTCTTGTTCTTTTTGCTTGATCAAATAGCCTGGCTCAGTAAAAGTAGGCGGCCAGTGCAACTCTGATTAAAAATCCAGTTATAACCATGTGCAGTGCTGATAATGACCACGTGTTTCTGAGACTCTTCCCCTTTATTTTCTTCTTTCTAGGTATTTCTTTCTCCTGATGAGGAGGGACCTTTAGCTGCCCTCGAAATCGATTGAGTGTTTCAATATACTTACGCTAAATACAAGGTTGTTTTTACAATTTTGATTGTCACATTAGCGTGTTTCTCTTCTAGTCTAATACAAAACATCCTTTCACCTGTTGTGCTTCAGCAGCTTATGGCTTACCTTTCACCTGTTGTGCTTCAGCAGCTTAAATACTGTATATTACCTGGGTTACAACTTAACCAAATCTTCATGAAGCTATGACCATATCCAAGTCAGACAAAGTGCAACTAATTTTAAAGACTTCCCAACCAATATCAGGCATTATTATTTTATTGCTTTTTTCATTCAGTTCAAATGAAGATAATTGCTAATTCCTTTAGTTTATTCAATTCCTATGTGTTGATAAGTCCTTAATTTTTTTCATTGATGGTCCTTAAAAGCACTTAATTTCTGTGTGCAGAAATGCATACAAACTTTGTACATACTATTATCTAAAATTATCTCCAGAAGAAAGTCTACCTGAACTAGGCATATATTTTATTAGATAATCACATTCAGTTGGGGATTTAATTTATACAATGGAGTACTGACTTTTAACATATTTTCATCATATCCTCAACAAATTCTTCTTGTTCCTTTTTTGCACTTGAAAACTATCAATAGTTCTAAACTGCCGCTGAATTTCATATGGGCCGGGGTTCTTTAACTCATTCACGCCTGCACTGATATTCATGTTTTTTGCTGTGAGATGGCACTTGAATTCATGCGTTGCTTCATCTGGTGGTGTGGTAGTATCACTTAATACAGAAGCTGTAAGTGCAACTTTTCACCCAGTAACAACATGCTTCCACATATTGTAATTGTTGTAAGGGCCAGCCATCACTCTGTTTAAAATGCTATAAAACATTACATTGAAATAAATAAAAAATTGTTATTTTTTACTAATGAATTTTTGTTTTAAAAGTTACGTTTATAATGGTTAGATAAAATAAGTCTTACTTTTTTTTTTTAATTAATACTTTGAATTTCCATTGTTTAAATTTTCAACTATATGGCAGTTTTTCGAGTTATTAAACAAACTGCATTTTTAATGGTATGCAGTGTTTGTTCAAATATTCAAGCGTGACTCACCAGTAATGCAGGATGACTCGAATGTGACCTACTGGTGATAGATGCTCACGTTAATGTGTAAAATCACCAGCTGTAGGTGTATGTTTTGTGGAGTATCCTTTTCCTATCCTTCTAAATGAGCATTCATTTACTCATTTAGAAGGCTAGAAAAGGATACCATTTTGAAATATTTATGCACAACAAAACATGTGTCACTTAAGTGCCAAAATTTTTATATTTTTTTAATTATTTCTTTTTTATAGAGACTTATACTGATACACATTTATGGTTGCTAAATTCAGTTATGCTTTTGGCAGGGGGGTAGAAGTAACACATGCTTTTCCAGGGTTTGTGACACAAGTGAAATGTTGTGGTTGAATGAAATAGTTTACACAGGGTCAATGAGTAGGCATGTACATGAAAGAGCTAGACAGTAAGTATGTGAAGAGCGACACAGGGACTCCGAACAATATGCAGCAATTTACTGGATGGCGAGTATCATGCGAATTAAACAGTTTATCTTTAGATACCTTTTTTTTGTTCATAAACTATTTTTTGGAACTAATACATCTGTTTTATACATTTACTTAAATCTGTTTCTTAAAAGCAAAAATTATATGTGCCTAGGTATTAGCAGTGTTTCATTAATTCTATTGTGGTACAAATATTTACAAAAAAAAAAAAAAAAAAAAAAAAAAAAAAAAACTGTTGCATTGTAAAATGTCAATATGTTATTTAAAACTGTATGTATTATTATGAAATGTACTTAGAATTTTCTCTTTATTTAGGTCATAACAGAAAAAATTGTCCGCTGAACAGATGACAGTATATAAATAGCCGAATTTAGAACATTGATTACTATTTGTAATTTTTATTGTATATATGTACATAAGTATTATTTTTAAAAAACTGATCATAAATTAGTTTTTTAAGTATTAAAATAAGTAATTTTCAAAATTAGAGATTTAATGTGTTTTCTTTCCATGTGTTTCTTGTGTATTTTTCTTTCTACATATTGATTCTTTCTTCCATTCTAAATGCTAACAAAATATTTCAAACAACCACATGAAAAGAAAGTTAAAAAGAAAAAACTAATTTTTTTGCATTTAAGAAAATGATTTTGTGTATTTTTGGATGTGTCTGAAAGTAAGATGAAAAAGGAATGGGCCTAGTAAAAACTGTATGAATATGAAATCTAAATTTTAAGTTATTCTAAGAAATGTTAAGTATAAGCATCTTATGTTACAAATATAAACATATATCAGCTTTCAAAAAAAAAAAAAAAAGCTTTCTCTTTTCCAGTTTGTTTGGCTTCAGTATGTCTTAAAATAATGTATACGAAATTCACATTAAATTTTTCTTTACAGTTTTAGTTTTACCTTCAAAATTAAATATTTTCAAATTAATTTAAAAATTTGTAAAACTGCAGCTATTAGAATCAAAATTATGTTAGTGATGTTAGTTACAAAATGAAAATTCAGAATCCATTTTGCCTGCTAGCTTTGAAATGTAAGAATAGACTCGACTATGAAATATGTGATTTATAAAATAACTGGATATACTGATTTAAAAGATTGTATTTCATTTCAGTGCCATTTTGGCTTAGTCATATAATCAGATATGTCATTTCTGAATGAAATTGTTTCATAATGACTAACATCGCTCTGTCAAGAACAGCCTATACTCCTGCGCTTAATGCATGCATTTCACAGTGCTGCTTATGATAAGCAGATTGGTAAATGAAATCAGCAGTCAATCGACCTTTCCTCTCTACATCAGACCCTACCTTACATTTGTGATTTTTACTGATATATCAATCAGTTTGCAATAGTATATCTCATAACAATTAATTGTTCCTCTTTGATGCCTACTCTCACCTGTTTTGAGGGGTTTTGCATATTAACAGAACATCCTAAATAGTGAAGACAGTGTTAGATATGGTTATATGTCTTGTAAGTAGTCAATTTTATGGCCACTAAGTGAAGTATTTTTTATCTCATTGATATCTTAAAAACTAGTGGAATGATTGAAGTTGGTTTAATTTGTAATGAAATTTTCCTCTTAGTCTAAGGAATGAATGCTCCATTTATTATATAATTTTTTTGGCTGTTAAAAATTGGATAAAACTCTAGTTTTTACCCCACCATTTTTTAAGGTGCTTTATTAAATGTTATTTGGATGGAAGTGATAATTTTCCTGATTGTAAAATTACAAAATTGCTTTAAAGCAATATTTTTATAAAGACCTAAATTAGTATCTTTTCTCAATCAATAAAATAAACCCAAAGAAGAGTTTTCATTTTTACTGAGAAAAGTAAAAGCAGAAAGAAGCATGGTTCAGCATTTGTTTTATGCAAAGCTTGCAGAAAAGTATAACTAAGTATAATGTAACTTACAGACATATGTTAAATTTTGAAAGATTTTTTATTGTATCTGTTAAACTGTATGGTAGGAAAAGAATATATGGGTTTAAGCCAATCAAACACACTGTCTTACTTAAAGCCTTCTTTGTCACCCAAAGCACCACAAAATCTGACTTTTGACATTGGCTAGAGAAGCACTGATAATGGAGAGACAATGATTTAATGGATAGATGTGAATGACAACAAGATATCAGTAGATGATCATCTTCTTTTGCATGCATCATAAGCCTCGCATCTCCCACTACTGAATCTCCAATATTTCAGTACACTATAGTTATTGGCATCACTTTTACGACTTCTTATGTAAAACTAGGCTTCTAGTGTATTTCTTTTACAGTTTTAGACAAAGAAACTACATTTCTTGCATTTCAATTCACATGGTGTGCTTATGTATTACGTGCTTATTTCTTTCGTTATTCCGTTGAATTTTAACCGCTTGCCTGATTACCCCGAGTTATCGGGTTCGTATATATTGCAGTTAATTATTATTCCGAGAAAAGTCGGGCGAAGTAGAATTTTTCAGTACAAATTGTTTTATCATGGTTTTACTCGGCCTTCAGGAAATGAAAGGAAATATTCAACTTTGATTGGCAGTGCAGTTTGCCAAGTTTTGTTGGTTTCACGGTTCTTTTGGAGGAACTGGTCACGTGTTTTCCCTATTGTATAGTATACATTGGTTTGTGGATTACTAATGTATAAAGATGGATAGTTGCATTGAAAAAATATGAAATAATGCCGACGATGCAAGATTAGCAAAAGCAATGATTTTTCATACAGTGATCATAACCTCAATGCATTTTCCAGATGTTATTCCTGTTACTGGGGGGGGGAAATCAAATCCAATTAGACTATGCTTTTGTTTTGTTTCGTTTCCTTGTATTTAATAATAAAATTTTTAAAAAATTTGATGATTTTTAAAAAAATTTGTAAGGGAAGCAGTTAAGATATGTTTGGTATGATTTGATAGATTTTGTTGAAAATGGGAAAATGCTGAAAACCTTTTCCCATAGAAATTAATAGTAACTGCTTCTTTGCTTTGTGATATTTTGGCTTATGAAAAGTTTCATGGGAACACTTAAATTTTTCACTTGGGTCTTGCAATCACAATCAGCCTCTCAGCTAGAAGATGAGAACTTCTACATTGTTGCATTTTTAAGATCAGATATTCAAAATGAAAAGTTGTAAATATGTACTAAAAAATCCAGAAATTGAACAATCTATGTGTAAAATTTGTATATTTATTTTTTCCATGGGGTTAAGGGAATCATACAAATAATTAAACCTTCCCCCAGCCAAGTCTTTGACACTACTTCTTTAATGCATTAGTTAATGCAAATTTTATTTCATAAATTTAAGAATATTGCAGAAGTTTTCAATTATTAAGATTTCTTAGAATATAAATCTATCCAGCAGATATGAGAAATAATTTTTAAAAAAATACTGATTTTAAATATAGCAAAACCATGTCACTTTTATTATTTATCTTGTCTTTTTGTTTAATTACCTCACATACTGCCTCAGTCAAAAAGTTATATTTTCTTGTATATCCTCAATTTAAAAGAAGAGCAAGAAACAAAGTGCACCTGAAACTTTTTGCATTGTGAGAATCTAGACAGAATTGTTGCTTTCGAAGAGATTTTATAAATAGGGGAAAACTTAATGTCCGGTAAGATATGCTTCAGATATACCTCGTTTTGGTGAGTATGGTAATTGATAATCTAGATCTGAAGTTTTAAAATGAAGATAATATAAAGATAATTATTTACAGTCTTTTATCCGGACTCGTCGGGACTTCAGCGATTCCTGATTATCGATTTGTCCGGATTTTAGATCATCAGTTTAAATCTCGTAAAATGGCATGCAGAAATTATAAAATTAAAAATATGAAACCGTAATTTATAAAATAATGAGAAATTATGATCTAAAGGGTATCAAAATTTACCAAAAAAGAAGCCTAATATTTATTTTGTTTACTTTATTAAACATTTCTTTCAACGCGCGGATGCGTAAAGCATACCTTACGCATAGCCGAAGTTAGAAAATTGCAACCAGAAAACTATTTGATTTGTATTCGTGGTATTTATAATGACGAGGAATTTGATTTAAATCATATCAAAGACGGAGTACATCGAAATTAAATACTACATTTAGTAAGGAATTATTTAATAAGCCGAATAAAATAAAAACATCTGCTCTGAAGATAACGATAGTGTTGACAAATCAACTTCCAGTTCATTGCGTGCCGTGACATACCCCCCCCCCCCCACAGAGCATCATGAAATTGATAAACAGATTTTGGAACGGTTCGATAAACAAAGAATATGCCTTTATCCATTTTTTGTAGCAATTCGTTTTTTGTTTGATGGACATTGAAACATACTTTCGTTTTCTAGATCCTTTGGGAGCTCCAGATTCGGAAATTCTATTTGACATAATGAAAAGTTCAAGCTTACTTTTAGAAAATTGCTCTTACAGTCTGCAAAAAATAATAAGCGGGATCCAATTCGAAGGTTAAGGAACAACGCAATCATCAACATTAACTGAAATAGATAATTAGATAATTTTAGCTTATAGCGTCCGTTATACATTAAACGCGCACGCGAACACGTATTCTCCACTGCGCAGACGCATATGCGCAGTCGTAAATGTCTTGGGCGCACGAGTAAAACGCCTATGCGCATGCGTCAATGCGGCGCATGCGCAGAAAGATTTTAGCTTTGAGGTCCGGATTATAGGTCATTCCGGATTATGGGTGTCCGAATTAACGACTTTTGACTGTATTAGTATTTTTTAGCTTTAAATTAGAATTGTAGTTGCCTGGCAACCCTGAGTATTAATTTCTGTAATTTTATTAAAAAGGATAGGAAACAATTGAACAAGGATTGAAATTCCAAATGAATATCAAACATACTTTTTTGCAGAGATAAGATTCTAAAATTATATAAAAACAATAAACTAGAATTTCCATACCATAAACATACAGAAATATGGATCCCTCCATAGAATTGAAAAGAGAGAAATCCCTCCATGAATATGTGAAATTACTGTTATTTATTGAGAGAAAATATTCACCGTAAATGAGAAGTTATTAGCTGTAAATATAACAAAGATTTGTTGATGAATTATAATGTATTTGAGTTTTTTGTAATTTATTTTTGCCTCTCTATCCAAAAAGGATTAAATTATTGCAATTTGCTAGATGTGAAATTTTAATTTCTAGAATGCAACTTTCATGATTTTTACAACTTTCTTGCAAAAAATTCATGACCTGTAAAACAGAAAATAACATTACCTTCAAAGTATTTCCATTGTACATCTTTACATAATTTAAACAATACTTCCATTTACGTCCATTTTCTAGAGTGGTCCTAAATATTGGGAATACAAATAAGTCTCCACCGTTTGGAAAAAATGGCACCCCCAGTAAGTTATGATTAAATTGTCTGGTGTAAAACATCATATTGTAAAGTTGGACATGCGTTTACTACATAACCTTGAAATATCAATGATTTTATATTAGCATCATATATTTTTTCTTGTGAAAATGTCGAATTTTGAGC